TGCCTCAAGTCTTAGACTAGTCCTATTCATCCTATATACTACTGCCAAAGTTATTTTCCTTAAGGACAAATTGACCATCTAATCCCCGTATTCAGCCAACTCCAAGGGCTCTTACCTCCAAGATAAAATATAATCTCTTCTGTTTAGCTTTTAAAACTATATACAACCTGACCTCAGCCTGTCTTTCTAGATTCAATGGACATTAATCTATCCTGCACTCTCTGATCCAGACAAACTGGCCTGCGCTCTGCTCCACACATATACCACCCCATCCCCTATTTTCTCGCCTTTGCACTGGTCATTCTCCATTCCTGGAATGTACTCCCTCCTTACCTCTACCTAATAGAATCCCTCTTTCTTTAAGCTGCCTTTCCTGATGTTCCCAAATGCTAATGTCCTCCCTCTCAAACTACTTTATATTTAACTACTTCTAAATATTTGTATGTGTTCACTTTGTATTTATGATGTGTATGTGTAAAATATTTACTTGTCTCCTTCATTAGAATGTTAACTCCTTAGCAATAGAAATTGTTTCATTCTTTATACATTTATCCCCAATGCTTAAGATCAATCAGTCAATAAATCAATCTGGGAGGGGAAGACCCTCAAAGTTTCTGGCCCTCACAGAAAACAATTGCTATTTACACTCATTCTAAGCCATCAAAACCTAAACTATAAGCCATGGAGGCTCAGGCCTGGGGCTCCATTTTACCAACAAGGAAACTGAGGCTGAGAGAGCTTAGGTCACTAGTCCAGGGTCACATAGCTAATATGTCTGAGTTAGAATTTGATCCTGTATCTCCCTGAACTCTCTGTATATCTATCACCTAATATAATGCTTTGTACATAGTACGCACCTATTAAAATCTGGTGAAGTTTAATGAGAATAGATGGTTTTATATAGCATGTTAAGGTTTTACTCACACAAGGCACTTAGCACTCACAAGGTCATAAAAAGTGATACAAGGACACTCTCAGGGTCTATCTGAAGAACTTTAGTGTGGGAGACTGGCACAGGACCACCCAGCATGGTGTACCCGAATCAAAGAAGGCACTCAAAAGAAATGTGAGATGTGACAATGTAGAGACGGCTCCACTCCAAATGTTCACATGGACTATTTGTGCCCAACCTGTGGTAAAGCCTTCTGAGCTTATATTGGTCTGATCAGACACAGTCAGACACACTGTACCGTGACCCCAACACAGCGATATTTTGGTCCTCTTCGAGCTAAAACAACAACTACCAGACATTACTTCATTTAATTCTGACAACAAACAAAATAATGCAGGTGTTATTATTTCGATTTTGCAAATGAAGATTGCATGAGGTTGATAGACTTAAGTGATTTGCTAAAGGTCTTGACAGTTAAGGAGTTGTAACGGTAAGGAAAAGCAAAGAGTCAAAGATAATTTGGAAATTTTGAGCCTGGATGGTTGTGTTATCATCAACAAAAACAAGAAGGACAGACAGGAGAGGGGTGAAAGAGATGGGAAGAGGAAGATAATTTAGACATGCTGAGTTGGAGATGCCAATAGAACACCCAGGAAGGACTTGAGCTCAAGGAGCAATTGAGGCAGAATACTTACAGATTTAAGAATAATATTTCTAGAGATGAGGTGCAGATGGGATTGCCAAAGGATTGAGGAGAGAAAGAGAGAGAGGAGAAAAGAAAAGAGGAACCAGAACAGAATTTTCCTATAAGTCCTCTACATTTTTCAGTTTCTTAAGGGGTTGTTGATGAAGCAGAAAAGAGTGCTCGCAGCAGATGAAGCAAGCATCCAGAAATGATAGGTACAGGGTACACCCCAAGAACATTGGGATGCTACCAGAAATGTTGGAGCATAGACGGGTTGTAGTGTGGGTTCTACAGACTGGTGGGTTTTAGTGTCCTGAAGGAATTCACTCTGACAGTTAAAGAAAGGCATTTATTGGGGTGACACACCCAAGTGGGCCCTGCTCCCCTATGGGAAGGAGAGTGATTGGCCAGGTTAGTCGTCTGGCCTTAATTATAGTTTAACAGAAGAAGAGGAAGAGAGGCAAACATGGCTCTGGAATGCCTGGGATATCAGGTAGTACCGAGTCCATACAGATAAGCAAAGGGAACAGGAAAGGGGAGGGGACAAGTTGTTCTGGAATGTCAGGTAATTGGGAGTACTTTGTGAAAGCACACAGTTAAGTCCACAATGGGGGGATTCAATGCATAGTCTTCTTTGATCAGTACTCTGACTGGTCACATCCTGCATCTTATCTCATATCTCGGATCTCACATCCTGCATCCTGCTTGCTCCATCTGCCCTCCAGCACTCCTTTCTACCTCATCATTGTGAACTGCTGAACTTTCATTTGCTACAACAAACATTTAGTAAATCCATTTGTCTTACAAGGTACTGTGCTAGTCTCTGTCGATATTGTGACAAAAACAATATTCCCTGCCCTCAATATTTACATTTTCCTTGGGAAATACAGTATTTATACAAACAAGCATGTACAAGATAAATTGAGAAGAGAAAGTATATTAACTGGGGAGATCCTAAGAGGTTTCAACTTTGTGGTACCTTAAGTTTGTGATAACCTAAACTAAACCTTGAAGAACACAAGGATTCTAAGATGAAGAAATGTGTACGTATTATATATACAGAGAGATCTATAAATAGATATACATATATACTGTTTATGTATATCCATGAAAAAACAACAAAGAACTTACTCTCAAGGACTTTACAGTATTAATAGAGGGAAAGATGGATGCACAAACAGGTAAGGTAAAAGGAGAATAAAGCAGAGACCCAGGACAAGCACTTTAAGATCAGAGAAAAGAAATTAGTTCCAGCAGGGGAAATTTTGATTGGCCATAATCAGTGCTTATCAAATCCCTCAGGGGGTTTGTTGTGAGGCTCAAATGAGATAATGTGTAAAAAGCTTTACAAACCTTAGGGCGCTATGTCAAACGTCAACTTTTAGTTTTTGTTGTTCAGCCTGTCCCACTCTCCCTGACCCCATTTGGTCTCCTCTTGGCAAAGATACTTCTGGGGTGTTTTGCTATTTCCTTCTCCAGCTCATTTTACAAATGAGGAACTGAGGCAAATAAGGTTAAGTGATTTGCCTAAGGCCATACAGCTAATACGTATCTAAGGCTGAATTTGAACTCTAGGCCTCGAACTGTGCTACCTAAGTGCCTCCAACTATTTAGTAGTAGTAGTTGTTGTTTCTATATATTCTGCTGTTGCTTTCTTATAACAGTTAAATATTCAGTTTAGCCAGTGGGGCAACACACTCATGCACTTTCCCTCCTTATTGATTGAAGACTCACATACCCTCGCTGATTGGGAAGAGAGATTTGAAAAGGCTTGTAGGTGCAAGTGATCTGGACCTTGAAGGTTGAGGATTTCAAAGGGGAGAGAAGTGGTGAAAGATAATATCAGGTATGGGGGAAAACTCAAGGAATATGAGTGCTAGATGTCTTGAGGAACAGCTGGAAGTACAGTTTGGCTGAAATGTAGAGTGTCTGAAGTATAAAACAAGGCTAGGAAGAAAGGGGCAGTGATGTGGTTATTGTGATTTCGTATCTGGAAGATTACCCTGTAAAGGAAGAATTGAAGAAAGAAAAGACTGGAGGTAGAGAGACCAATTCGAAGGCTCTTGCAAAGAAAGTTGTTCAGGTGAAAGCTCTACCAAAAACGTGACAGGGCTTTCAAGGTATGACTTGCAGATGCTTTACAAAACTAAGGACAACTGATCTTCAGTTCTGAAAATTCTTCAGATAATCTTAGCAAAACTTTTGGAATTTTCTCAACTTAAGTTGAATGACGTGGATCAGTATCTAAGAATGTAGTTGTTATCATTCTTTACAAGTTTAACACCTTTTGGGGCATAGTTTGCCCTCCCAGTCCTGTGAATTCTCCCACATGGGGTCAAGTATCCTGCTGGAGAACCAGTTCTTGCTGCCCTTCCCCCCAAGTTCCCGAGACAGCAAACTTACCCCGTCCCATTATCACCCGAGATTTCCCAGAATCACGGAGGTGTAAGAACCTTAGCAAGCTCGATAACATCTAAGAGCTCAAACTCACACAAGGCCTTAGTAAAGGGGAGGTCCAGATCGGGATTGGAACAGAGGTGTTCGCAGTTCAGGTGCATGTTTGTTTGTTTGTTTTACACTGATGCCACGCCGCCTCTTTCCCCCACCTTCAAAATACGTTTACCTACCAGCTGTAATTTAATAGAAAGGGGGAGGGAGCCTTCTTACTGCTCTGTTCTTTTAAAGAGGGAATGCTATGTAAGAGTAGCTCACATTCACATAGCACTTTAAGTAAAAACGTTTTTCGTGGGGACAGATAGATCAGTTGAACTAGTACTGTAATTCCCATTTTAGTTTTGATTTTGATAAACCTTCCCCTCCACGGGCGCGAGGAGAAATGGGCACGGCCGGCCACCGTACCGCCAGGGGTTCTGCCCTAAGCTTCCCTCTAGGTTGGCTTCCCAGGCCCAGAACATGGGGATAGGGAGGGGTGTGGTGGTTCAGCCTTCCCATCAGAAGATTCAGACTCACCTCGCCCCAGTCCCCAGGCCAGCTGAAGAGGGCGCCTGCGGCCACCTGGGCTTAACACCCGTCACCACGGCCACTCTAGCCCGCGCCCGCTTCTCGGTGGCCTCAGGTGGCTCCGGGGCGCCTGCGCTCCAAGGCCCCACCCCCACCCTGGCCAACACCACCCCTCTCGGAGACTTTACCAGCTCTTGTGGCCTGTGCGCAGGCGTGCGTCCCCAACGCCCCCCTCTCCTTCCGCCCTTTGCGCGATGGCCTCGCGGGTCCCTTGGGCGCGAACAACACGACGGCCCACACCTGCCTTTCCTTAATCCCTTCTCGCCCCAGCTGATCGGGGTTGAGCCTAGTTTGTACCCACGGCGTGTTGGCGATGGCATCACGGGCTCCTCCCCCCAGCCGGCTGTGGGCACCGAGGCTTCAGCCCGGGGTGGGACTCGTGGAGCGTAGATTCCGCTTCCGGTGTGTATTGTGTGTATCTTTCGGGGGCTGGAGGAGGAGGCAGTGGCCTCGGCGGCTCCGGTCCCCCGGACCCCCGGATCTGGACCTGGGGGAGGTAAGTGGGAATACCTTCCCAACCCCCTCCGACTTCTGCTACCCTTTTCTCCCTGGCCAGCTTCAGCCCTGCGCTCCAGCGTCCCCGCGCCCTGTTACTACGTCACTGCCACCCCCAGCACGTAACAATCGCCTTCCTCCTCCTGCTTGGGGGGCTGGTGCCAACGTCACCTCTGCCCTGGTGATGTCAGGGCGTCCAGCGTTGTCTAGCTACATTGCCTTACCATCTCCCTTCTGCCGTACTTTCTTTATGATCCTCATCATCCTCCTGTTTACCTAACTTCATGATGTCATAGACATTCTCCACTCCATCACAACAGTCCAAGATACTCTGCTCATGCCTCCTTTTGGAGTCACAATCACTCTTCCTGCCAGCCACAGGCCTTGTTATCCTTCTCCCTTCCCGCGAAGTCACGTTAGGCAGAGCTGGAGAGAGGAACTAAGGGTGTACTGGGGACAGAGTTGGGGTAAATGCTTGGAAGAAAAGAATGGTAAAGTTAGGGCCCCCCAAAGATGGGGAGAAGCAGAATGGGGTTCCCACAAAGTTTGCCCTTCAACCACTGACACTTTCAGAGAGGGAAGAGAATTTGTTTCACCACCCACAGAGTCAGTATCTGTAGGAACAAGGTTTTGGCTTTGGCTCCCTCCATAGACCCTTCCCCCTCCAAATATCTGACTGTTTTCCTTCTTTCCCTTTCTTCCTTCAGGGCTGGGTGGTCCTTCCCTTTTCCCATCCTAATGCCCTGTTCAGTCTTGGCTCCTAAGCTACAGAGACTACAGCTCTTCCCCAGGTGAGTAAACTTCTCAGCTTTTAGATGTTTTATGAACATGGCAAGAGAAGGTCTTAGAGCTGGGTTCCTTACAGGTAGAAAAATGTAAAAACGTAATTAATCTCCTGGTTGATGAGGAAAGGATGACATAGAAATGGCCTGTTGCTAACTTATCCTCCATTCACAGGGAACTATAGTGCAAATCAATACATACTTATTAATCCCAAATATATTATCTTAGGTTCTGGGGATGAAAAAAAAATGAATGCTAGTTTCCCCCATTGGGAATTGGTTCTACTAATAGATATAGAATGTCTAAAGAATCCCATCTTCCTTTATCATCCTTTTATTTCTAAGCCTCATTATGCATTGAGATACTGTACTATTGCTTATCCTCTGTTTCCCTTCTCCCCCCCCCAAAAAAAAATCAGGATCTAATAATAGCTAGAGAAAATGAGTCAGGAGAAGGTATAATGTTAGACAGTTTGTTTGCTGGTCACACAAGTCTTTTGTTCTCTTTGGGCCATTTAGAGTTTCCCTGGTGTTAAAGCATAAAAAAAAGACCTGTGATATGGGATAGAGAGGATGTGTGTTCCCCCTATAGGTCGGGAAGAAAGTAAAAAGTGAGTATAGGATTTGTTAGAGGTTGAGCGTTATATTTTTATAGTCATGAAGGGTGGAAACTCTTCTGTTGATTAGAGATTGGACTGGATGAAGTTGCGTTTTTTTTTTAAACAGATTTTGTGTCAGTTATTTTCCCCCTAAACCCTACCTTGCAACAAAGAAAACCAATTAAGCAAACCAACATAATGACTGACACTTCTGAACAGGTATGCAATGTTCCATTCCTATAGTCTCCCACTTTTTTAGAGAGAGAAGGGAGGTGTTTTCCTTATCTCTTCCACACTGCAAAGATTGATCATTAAAATCACTCTGCTTTGAGATGATTTGTTGGCAGATTTTGTTTACATTATTGTTGACCTAATGGAAGAAAGATATTTTGGCCAGTGGATTGTATTTAGTAGAGACCTCTGTAGATAGTTTTTGGCAGTAAGCTATGAATTAGGTATAAGGGAGTATGGACTTGAGGTAGTTACAGAATTTGGATGAAGGATAAAGGCAGAATGAGTTAGTGGTATTTTTCTTTTTTTTTTTTGAAATCCTTACTGCTTAGCACAATTTGTGGCAGCACATAGTAGACAATAAATACTTTTTGATAGATATGATGGAACGAAATAGAATATGTTTCTGGAATGTGCTGGGGTGATCCATGTTAAAAAAATCTCTAATCACTGCTAACTAATTGGGAGTATGTTTGACAACCTTTCTTGTTTTCAAAGGGTGATTTCCTTGGGCCCACTAGGCATTACCGTTGTCGCTATTGAACGTGGCTGCCACATATTTGCAACACTTTAAATGTGTGCACCAAGATGAATAGATCCCCAGTATCAGGAGCATGTTCAGACAAAATGTACCCAAAGAGCAATGGAGCACTTTGTAAATCATTTCAGTTAGAACAGAGGGGCAAAGTGCACACCTTTTAACATCATGTTACTTTTTGCTGGCTTTTATCTATCAGGCCTTCCTGAAAAGAAGCAGGGTGGCATCCATCCTCATCCCAATTCAAGTCCTGTGAAAGAGTGGGGGATGAATGACCCATGAGGAGGTGTATGAAAAAATTGGTGAGGAATAGTCCTAGAAGAAAGATGAAGAGCAACTCTAGGAGAGAAGAATGATTGGGACAAGTTGGAGGATGGGGAAAAATAGTAGATACAGGTGAGTGGTAGAAGTTGACAATTTGGTATGTCCTAGAGTAGAGAGGAAAATGTTCATTTTGTATGTATCACAGAATTTTTATGGGGAGGTATGCCTCCTTTAATTCTTTCAATAAAATGTTTATACAGTTTTGGGTATTGATAATGATAATGCTTGGAAAGGCCCAGTATGAAGAGTACAAGCCTTGTAGGGCAGACAGATCTGAAGTCCTGGTTCTGCGGAGAAGAGGAAATGTAGCTTCTGAGATCCTCTTTCTGATACTTGTAGTAGAACTTAGGAGACCTGAATCTAAATCCTTTTTTTTAAAATCTCTTATGTTACTAATTGTGTTCCATGAGTTTAATTTAATTTATAAGCCTCAATTTTGTTATCTGTAAGATGTCAGTTGATGTTACTTTGACAATCTCAGGAGGGACTGGGGCTGGATATAGATCTGCAAGTCATCTGCATGGATAATTAAACCCATGGGATCTGAAGCTGTTGATGTCACCAAGTAAGAGAGTATAAAATGAGAAAGAGAGGGCTCCATACAAGAACCTTGAGTCTTGACCCACAGGGCCAATATATGGATAAATAAACAGCAAAGGAGATTGGGAAGGCCCAATGGTCACACAGGTAGTAGTAAAACCATTAGTATGGTATGACAGAAACCTAGAGAGCATTTAGGAGGAGAAGGTGATCAACAGTGTCAAAAGCTACAGAAAGATCAAGAAAGTCAAAGACTAAGAAATAATCATCAAATTTAGACATGAAGAGGGACATTAGTAACTCAAAAGAGAGCAATTTCAGATAAGTGATGTGTTTATAAGACATTGCTTAGGGTTGTAAGGTGAGAGGAGAGGAACTGTTTTGTGTCAAGAGTAGCCAGTAAGCACAGGTCTCACTACACCACTACCTTGCTCTGAAAATTTTAGTGACTTAATATGGTATCTAAAATACATTAGAAAATTCTTGATTTGGAATTTAAAGCAAAAAGTGGCCAGTATTGTAGGTCTTCCTCATATGATGTCAGGAAAGAAGATATATAGATAGCCTTTTCTAGGAGTTTGGCTGAGAAAAGGAGGATGGATGATAGCTTGAGTAGATGGTATAGAGTCTAGTAAAAGTTTAAGGAACGGGGGAGACTTGGGCATGTTTGTAAGCAGCAGGAATTGGAGTATTCTGTTTTACAGAACCTGTCATCAAATAATTTATAGGCATGACCAGTAGTTAAACCAAATATATTTGTATCATATATCTCTATATTTCAATAAGCTAATGATTTTTTCATGGAGGGTATTCTGAAAAACATAAAAATTAGAACACTTCCATGTCTTAGTAGATAATCTTAATGTTTTATTCTGAATGAGAAATTCCTCACCTGTGACCAGTCTGGAGATGGGCCTCACTGACCATGGGGTGATTCTCAGCAAGCACAGCCTCTGGTCAGTCTCTTTCCAGAAGCCTTTGCACTTTGGTTGGATGTTCAGAGAATGTGCTTCCTTCATGTAACAGCTAAGACCCCCTAGGTCAGGGCTTCTTTAACTTTTTCCAATGCGACCCCTTTGGTGCTGTAGTGGTCACCATGCCATAATGAAGTTCAGATGTCTCATTCATTTGATGGGTTCTGATTGATTTGTAGTAATAAAATTATGCTCCAAATCCCGTATAACTGTGCTGTTAAGACACCAGTTATGTAAGGAGCCCCAGTGCCTATATTTTTTCTTTCCTAGTTGGGACCTCTGATTTTGATGGTATAAGAATATTGAAATTCTAGGTGAAGCAAGCTCTATTAATTCAAAGCAACAACTGTTGTGCAGCTCAGTCTTAGGGAGTTGCTTGGGCACTGAGAGGTGGATTGATTTTCCAAAGGTCCCCCCATTATGTGTCCAAGGTAGGACTTAAAACCTGGTTTTCCTGCCTCCTCAAGCCAGCTTGTTAATCAGCACTGCTCCTGGCACATAAATACAGCTTTACATACAGTGTCATAAACTTGACCTAAAACTAAGCCTTACTGTGTGTTGGACACTGTATTAGGTAGGTGCTAGAAGAGATTCAAGTTTAAATACTACTTGACCACTGCCCTCAGTTTTCAGCCTAGTAGGGGGTATGTAATAATAACAATAAATTCTTACATAGGGCTTCAAGATTTATAGAGAACTTTCTTCACAACAACCCTGTGAGGTAATTAGTGAGATTACTATTTTCCAGATGAGGAAACAGTCCTAGATTAAGTGAATTGCCCAAGGTCTTGGCTGTCCTGCGTCCGGCAATGCTGTTTGAGATCAGACGAGTGTAGAGGTTATTAGTGACGCAGGAAAGACTAGCATTAAGCAGGACCAGGAATGGCTTCTTACAGAATATGGCATAACTGAGACTTGAAGGAAGCCACGAGGTGGAAACTTGGAGAGAAGAGAACATCCAGATGGACAGCTAATGAAAATTCAGAGTCAGAAAGATGGACTATTATGGAGGAACGGCAAGGAGGCTGGTGTCCTTGGATCATAGGGTATATGAAAGGGAATAAAATATAAGACAACTAGGAAGGTAAAAAAGGCCCAGATTATCTGAAGGGCTTTGAAAGCTAAACAGGATTTTATAATTTTATTTTGGAGCTACTAGAGTTTATTGAATGGGGGGAGGAGGAGGGTGACATGGGTCAAACTTCCATTTTATAGGAAGTTCGCTTTGACAGCTGAGTAGAAGATAGACTGGAGCAGGGAGAGACTTGAGTCAGGAAGGCCAACCAGCAGTTTTATTTAATAGGCCAGATGTGAGGGATTGAGGCCTGCATCAGGGAAGTGGCATTGTCAATGGAGTGAAGAGGGCATAGTAATGAGGGCCTATTAGGTGGGGGCAGTGAGACTAAAGAAAGGACAAGTGGCAAAGATTTCAGAAGTAAAGTGACAAGACTTGGTAACTTTATGAATTAGGAGTGAAGAAAGAGAGGAGGGTCAAAAATAACAAGGAGGTTTCAGTCTTGGGAACTAAGTAATAATGTAATAGTAAACTTCAGTTAATGATTTAATTAACAAGAATTTTGTTTGCCTGTAAAATTGAGAAGGGCTTTGGAGGGATGATTTTTGACAGCAAAGCTTCAGTGGCTTCTAACCTTTTCTAGTATTCAGATCAAGCTTTGATTTTGAGGGGAATAAAATTCTAGAATCTTAATATAATGACAATTGTACTATTATCTGTTGATTGAGAAGATATATTATTACAAAAGGCTACTATGAATTTATTAACTTTTAAAATGAATTTGTATTTTATCCATCCACATAGATTTGAAAATAAATGCAAATATGTGACATAATATATTGAGCCTCCAGAAGGTATGTTTGCTTACTTATTATACTAAGTCATGTAATGAAATATGGATCCTTTGTCTTAACTCTGCTCTACAGGTTGGAACCCACTGCTTGAAGTAAATGTCAGTGTAATAAGCAGAGGTATCCCATGCCTTAGAGTTGACTATTTTTCTTAGTTATGTTGATAAGTTGAATTCAAATTGATGCACTCTGGTAATTTATCAGCTGACTTGAGGAGGGGAAATAATTTTGTAAAGCAGTGTTAATAGGAGTAACTAATGAAAGGATGAGAAGACTGGGAGCATACTCAAAGTAATAAACCTTAATAATTTGCTATTAGAATGGTGCTCACTTGGAATGCCATAAAAAGTACTTGGCCTAGTCAAGTTTCATTTTTTAAAGTATTGTGAAGTATTGTGCAAACATCCTATTGAATAGAATGAGGTACGTTTATTAAGTGGAACTGTGCTATTCCGAGCAAAGATAGCTCTTTTAAGTCAGTTTTATGTCACTGCAAGATCACCTATATGAACTTGGGCAAGTCATTTAACACTTGGACTTCACTTTCCTGATCTGTAAATGAAGGAATTAGACTAGATGGTCTCTAAAGACCCCTTCCAACTATAAAAATAGATGATCCTATTTGCTATGTTTTATTTTGGAATAACTTAAATGAAAAGGTGTGGAATATGAGATAATTATTGTACTTTGCCTTTTGGAGTACTTTATACTTTTCCAAAGTACCTGCTATGTCTGCACAGGATCAGTGTCAGACTAGGAATAGTAAAGAGGAACTAACCACTTGATTTTCTTCAAAAAAAAAATTTTTTTTACCAAATTTTTTTACAGGACTATTTTATTTAGATACACTGTTATACTAATACTTTGCATTTGTGTAATGTTTATTTATAGTCTTTCAATGTGCAGACCATTGTGCTGGGAATGTCTATATGTCCTGCATACCTCACGGAGAATCAAAGGAGAAAAATACTCTGAAAGCAGGGGACTATCTTATCTAAACCCTGTATCCCTTCTACTGCCCAGCACAATGGGATGTAGAGGTGGGAGGAGAATGGGGATCTATAGAAGAACCCAAGAACAGAAGAGGGGATGTGCCAAAGAAACAGAGCAGGAAAACATAATAAAAGGTACAGAGTTTGAGAGCAGGGTGAATGAAATAAAGACTGTGGTAAATATGTTTTCCAAAAGGTATGGGATGGAAGGTTTAGGCTAGGGCAAGGTAATATGGAAAACGCCTGGATGAGGATACCTAATGGCATCCAGACCTAGGATTGTACAGGAATATTGGGATGAGGGATGAGACTGTTTGTTGGACTAGGGCACCAAAGAATTGAAACTAAATCCACCTTCTTTCCTTTTCTTTCCTACTATCAGGTGAATAATGGCAGATACAGGCCTGATTGAGGCAGGGGCCTCAGCGGCCTCAGCAGCTACAGCCCTGGAGAACTTACAGGTAGAGGCAAGCTGTTCAGTGTGCCTGGAGTACCTGAAGGAGCCTGTCATCATTGAATGTGGGCACAATTTCTGTCGGGCCTGCATTACCCGTTGGTGGGAAGAACTGGAAAGAGACTTCCCCTGCCCTGTGTGCCGCAAGACATCACGTTATCGCAGCCTCCGGCCCAATAGGCAACTGGGCAACATGGTGGAAATCGCCAAACAGCTACAAGCCGTCAAGCGAAAGACCCGAGATGAGAGTCTCTGCCCCCAGCACCATGAAGCCCTTAACCTCTTTTGCTGTGAGGACCAGGAACCTGTATGCTTGGTGTGCGAGATCTCCCATGCCCATCGGGCTCACACCATCGTGCCACTGGATGATGCTGCACAGGAGTACAAGGTGGGGAACCTGATGCGTGATGCCGACGTGGGGAGAAAAAGAGGGAGGAGCAACAGAGGATGGGAGACTCCATTGGGTAGAGGATTGTAAGCTCCTTGAGGGCAAGACTGCATCTGGTCCACATTCTGTAAACCTCCCAGAGCTACACACACGGGGGGCGCTCAGTACGTCCAGTCAACTCAATTATCCACGCGAATGGAAGCAGACAGTGGTGAGGATTATCCAAAAATCATTTATTTTTGACTTTGCAGCACATTTGGGGGCCTTATGTGTGAATATCGGTGTGTCTGATCTGGGAATTTACAGTATTTTGTGCAAATAAATGACATTTTGAGAAGTTCTGACTGGGAGAAGCTGGACAGTGATCTGGCCTTCCCCTTCTCCCTTCCTCCCCACCCCTTACCCCCTACCTTACACACACACACACACACACACACACACACACTGACTTTTGCCTTTCTCCCCCTTGAGGGTGGGGAGAAGTAGCTTCATACCTTTTAGACTGATGTAACACCAGCCTTAATTTCTTTTGGTGTTTGCATATTTTTCTGCTATTGAGAGGGGAGAGTTTATTACAAGGTTTCCTTCTGGGCTGCAGAAGAAAATGTTTAATAGTAAATAGAGAATAATATATAAATGTTGTATTTTTATCACCTCCTTTGCTGAATTATTTATATTACTAAGATACAAGATTTAAGTTAATCCATATGAGTAGTGACTATATTTGATAATAGACAAACAGATGGACAATAAGATGAGTGGACAGATGGAGAAGGAATATACTCCTTGAGTGAAAAATGGGTTAGGAGGGAGGGGACAAGGGAAATACTGAAAATTGGTAGTGGCCAGTGAATCCTAACCACTGTCTGGTTTAATAGGAGATGGACAAGGTTGGTGGTGGACTTCGAGTTTGGGGCAGCAATTAGATAAGTGAGATTCATTAAGTAGAAGATTGGGTATGAATTGTGTATAGGCTTGGGTTGGTGGTGGGATGCTAAATAAATTATTTCAAGAGTGATGAGATACAGTGGTTGAACTGAGAAAGTCAGCAAAGAAGACGAGTGAGTGAAGGATTGGGCAGGTGATGGTGACAGCCAGCACCCGTCACCTTTCACAATCCCTTCATCTCAGGAGAAGCTGCAAAAGTGTCTGGAGCCTCTGGAGCAGAAACTGCAGGAGATCACCCAGTGCAAGTCATCTGAAGAGAAGAAGCCTGGGGAACTCAAGGTGAAAACACTTGGGAGGGAGAGAATTTAACCAGAGCTGTGCTGTGGGTATGATCCTTACAGACATAACCAAAGGCTACTTACTACAGGTCAAATCCCATTACAAGAATACTATGAAAATAAAAGCTTTATCATGATAAAAAATATTTTCACAAACTGTATATTTAGCTTTTGCAGTTGCTAAACCTAGTTAATGAAGTGAATGAATATCCACTAAGCACCTGCTATGTGCAATGCACAAGTAATGGCTTTCTTTAAAAAATGACTTAAGGTGAATAACAGAGCCTTTAGCCTTGAAATTTATTATAGCCAGTATCATGATATCTTTTAACTTTAATATATTACATTAAAACTACTTTATGTAGGTTTTTATTCTAAAACATTATAATGAACTTTTTTAATGAATCCAGTTAAATTTTTGAAACTTTTAAGTCAAGAAAATAGTTAAAAGTCACAAATTGTATTTATCTGTTCAGATGTTCACCACCCCCTTACCACTAATCCACTAAAGCTAATATCTCCTTTAGTCTGTCACTCTATTTAGTCACTCTATTCTGAGAAGTTTTAATTGTGTGTTGTTTGCAAAATATTTCTCAACTATACTTACAGAGAACATCTCACTTGCTAATATACTGTAAAAGTGTAAAGGGGAAGAAGAGTGGAAAATTAAGCAGAGGAATTCAAGCAACTCCCTTCTTCAAACATCCCAAATTCTCAAACAACCCTGCAAAACCAAACAGCAGACTCAGAAAGATATAGGAACTTGGAGGAGTGAAGGGATGGGGTGAAGGTGTGTGCATGCCACCTCCTTGAAAGTGAATGAAAATTTGCTTTGGGGGTTTTCCCCTTTTCTCTTGCTGTGTTTTGAGCACTTTTTTTTTTCCAATTGCTAACTCATAACCCTACCAACTGCCTACACAAAGGCCAGTAGAACTCAACCTCTATAAGCTTGGAATATTATATCCTGCAATGTACTCATTACAAAAGAAACTGTTATCATGAAAATGGGTATCCTTCAGTTCCTTATAATGGGATTTAACCTGTGTTAATTCATTTAAGTGGTGGCTTGGGGGTTGAGCTACAGAATTCCCACTTGGCCCTATTGACACATGGCCTTCTCTTTTCTCAGCGTCGGGTGGAGAGTAGGCGGCAGCAAATTGCAGGGGAGTTTGAGGAATTACATCGAAGGCTAGAAGAAGAGCAACAGCTTCTACTGTCTCGACTGGAGGAGGAGGAGCAAGACATCCTGCAGAGGCTTCGGGAAAATGCTGCCCAGCTTGGGGAGCAGCGTCGAGACCTTGCCCGCCTTGCTGCTGAGATAGAGGGCAAGTGCCTACAGTCAGGTTTCGAGATGCTCAAGGTGTGACTTCCTCTTCACCCTCCTCACCTCCAGCTTTCTACACGTCTAAGATCAGACCCTGTAAATAACTGTCCACTTGGGATGGCTTGGTGTAGTGGAGCATTGGATTGGGTTTTGAGACTGATTCTAGTCTTGGCTTTTTTTTTGCCTCATTCATGAACCTCTCCAGGCTTTCAAAATTGTTTGCTTGGTGAAGTGAGGAAACCTGATTTCAGATCCTGACTTAGCACCAGGCTGTGTGACCTTGGGCTAGACACTTAAGCTCTCTGAGCATTCATTTGTGAAATGGAATGATATGTTTAAACTATCTACTTAACAAAAGGGTTTTTGTAAAGAAAGCACACTTTGTAAAACTTTAAAGTGCTATGTCAATACAAGTTCCTTTTATCAGGAACTAGACTCCAGAAATCTTCACAGGTCTTATAAATTTGCTTTAAGGAATCTTAGAGAATTTTTTATCAATTATATGTAAAGTGATGCTTCTGAAAACAGTTCTGTTAAGCACAGTTAACAACATTATAGAAAATGTATTTGTCCCTTTTTAAATAACAGATTAATGTAATGAGAAATGACAAGTATTCATTCACAGATATTACTTTAATTGTTTCATATTCTTTTAAGTATGGATGTTCTGACATCCTCATTTGCTTGAGGACTCCATTAGGGTTGAGGCTGTCTTGTTCTTTTGTACCCACTAAAACTGGACTTTATACACTAAATGCTCATAAAATAGTAAGGTCCAGTATAATGTAAAGGGCCCTGGAACCAGAGGCTGAAAACCTAGATTCAAATTCTTGAGCCTGCCCTCTATCTTTACAACCTTGGGCAAATCACTTCCCCCTCTCAGGGATTCAGTTTTTTCAGAAAAGAAGATGTTGGACCAGATAATCTTAGTTCACTTCCAGCTTCAAAATATCATGATCCTAAATGATGGTAGAAGGGGATCTAAAATCACTACTTATCGATGATTCGTTCATTCACCATCTACCACTCACTAAGCCTATATTAAACTCCTGTACTTGGAGGACAAAGAAAGAATTAGACCAGATCCTTGTCTTTCAAGAATTCCCAGTTTTGTTATGATCGTCATTGGGGGTGGAGGCTGGGGTAGGTTCTGATCTGTAATCCCATCGGTATGGAAAACTCAGATTTTTAGGGTTGGAAGAGCTCAAAGGAGCTATATAATCCAACCTGTAACCTGAAAGGAATTCCAATATAATGAGAAATTGGTATCCAGCATATCCTTGAAGGACCTCCAAGAAGAGGGAGTTTCTCTCCCCCCCCCCACCATACACACATGCTTGAGGCAGTCCATTCCACTTTTAGATCTAATTGTTAGGAAGCTTTTCCTGACATTAAGATTAAATTTGCCTCTTTGTGACTTTTGCACGTTGCTCCTGGTTCTGCCTTTTCCATCTGGCATGACAGCTTTTTAAATACTTGAACACGGCTATTGTGTTCTCCCAAGTCACACCTCCAGATTTCAGATCCTGACAGCACCTGGCCTGTGACCTTGGGCTAGACACTTTAGCTCTCTAAGCATTCATTTATAAAATGAGATGATGTGTTTAAACTACCTCCTTAACTCAAAGGGTTTTTTTTTTCCCATTCCTTTAGCCAATCCTCAGATGATGTGGACTCAAGGCCCTTCACCATCCTGGTTGCCACCCTTCAGATTCTCCCCAGCTTATCCGTGTCCTTCTTAGTGCCCAGAACTGAGCAGAATAACCCCAGTGAGGTTTGACCAGGGCAGAAGGGCCTACGTCTCCATATTCAAGGGAGCTGTGTCCAAATGCAGCTTAGTCATTTTTGCTTTATGGACTATCACATCACATACCCTGCTGTGCCATAGAGAGCTTGCAGTCCACTAAAACCCTTAAATCTTTTTCTGACAAACTACTGTCTGATCATACGCCTTCCTCCATCATATGCTTGTGAAGTTAAGGGTTTTAATCCTAAGGGTGAAACTTTTGCATTTATCCCTGTTGAATTCATCCTAATAGATTCACCCTAATGCTGCTCTTGCCTGCCAGGATCTTTTTAGGTCCTGAGTCTGTCATCCAGTGCGTGTAGACCTGGTGTAGAAACTCATTCCTCTGGTGCATATCACACTCGATTTGTGTCTTAATTGCCTGGACACTGAAGTTCATGGTGGTCACACAGCTCATGGGCTTCTGATATAGGACTTGAACTCAGATCTTCTCAACTTCAATACCAACCTCCTATTCACTCTGCTAGGCTGCTTCCCCCTTGTGGAAAAACACATCCAAACACACATTAAACAATTTGGAAATAATTTCTGAGCATCATTTTATTTTATTTCATTTTATTTTGTTTTATTTTTGGCTAGGCAGTGGGGTTAAGTGACTTGCCCAGGGTCACACAGCTAATAAATGTTATGTGTCTGAGGCCAGATTTGAACTCAGGTCCTCCTGAATCCAGGGCCGGTGCTCTATCCACTGTGCCACCTAGCTGCCTGTAATCATTTTAAAGGAACAAAGTTAAACCTCAAATTGCAAATCAAATAAAAGAAGGGATCATGTCAAGTGAGGCTCTGAGCCCCATCCAGAATTTTCCCCTCCACACTTGGCTCCATCCCCATGTCCCTCCCAGTTCTAGAATGTTTTACTCCCTCTGGAGACCCTGAATCAACACACCTGGCAACCTTGGGGAGGACTCTCAGGGCTGGGATGAGCTAAAGGTGGAGCAGGAGTAGGAAGGAAATAAAAGATGAAATTAATTCTGCTCCCTTCTCTCCTACAGGATGTCAAAAGCACACTGGAAAAGTAAGTGACTCCTCCTTGGACCAGCTGCCTGTGGTGGGGGGATCAAGGTCAGACAGGGCCTTAGTGTGAGAGAGAAAGGTCCCTAGCAACGAGAAGCATGAGGTCATTGGGATGGCCTTGACAGCACCCTCTTCTTCTCCCAATTTATTGCTTATACTTCCCTGAACGCTGAGCAATGACAGATTCAATCCTGTCTCAATCTACCAGTTGGAATGGGACTTAGAGGAGATTGAATAAAGGGGTACCAAGGGATCAATAGCTCTGAAAGGAGAGGTTATTTGGGGACCCTGTGCTGCCCCTCCCACCCTTCCCCACCTAACAGATTGGATTAAGGGAGAGAATCAAACAGGAGAGGAATTCTTGGCTACAGTTTAGGGAGCAAGAAATGGGAAGGACTGGAGATCACAGCTTCTCTTTGAAGACTTGGACAGCTGTGGCCCAGTTGCCTAGGGCATTTCCTTGATCTGGCCCCTTATCCCCACTCCCACCCCACCCCCTCCCAGATGTGAGAAGGTGAAGACCATGGAGGTGACCTCGGTCTCCATTGAGCTGGAAAAGAACTTCAGCAGCTTTCCCCGACAGTACTTTGCCCTAAGGAAGATCCTTAAACAGCTGATGGGTGAGTTGGGCCAAAAAGAGAACTAGCTGCAAGAATATATAGGGAGGAAAGGTTCCTTAGGTCTTTCCCCTCTGCCTCCTTAACCCTTCCTCACCCACCCACCCACCTCCCTTGACTGGCCTCCAGTCTCCCCTTATTCTCTCTTTCTCATACCCTCAGTCTTGTCCTCTCTCCTTCCCAACTCACTATTTCCCTCTCTCTGGCCCTCAGTCTTTGCCCTTCTCCCTCTCAACACACTGGGGCAGATTTTAGCGAACCAAAAAAATGGAGAAGGCTAAGACCTGAATTAATCACCCCCTAGCCAATTAGTTTTTGGATAGTCCAGAGTTTGCTGTAAGTGAACACATTGGGATTAGGATGAGAATAGTAGTCTCCCTCCATCATGGAACATGAAGGACTAAAAGTCAACCAAATATAGTGATTGGGGGATTTTAGAGAAGATAGGCCTTACAAAGTTAGGTCCATTGCATCCTTCCCACCTTCTCCCTTACTCTGGCTTCTTCCTGCAGCGGATGTGATCCTGGACCCAGAGACAGCTCACCCTAACCTAGTCTTATCAGAGGACCGAAAAAGTGTCAAGTTTGTGGAAACTCGACTTCGGGACTTGCCTGATACACCTCGGCGCTTTACCTTTTACCCCTGTGTCCTGGCCACAGAGGGCTTCACCTCAGGTCGTCACTACTGGGAGGTGGAGGTGGGTGATAAGACCCACTGGGCAGTAGGTGTGTGCCAGGACTCTGTGAGCAGAAAAGGCGAGTTAACTCCACTGCCTGAGACAGGATACTGGAGGGTGCGACTGTGGAATGGGGACAAATATGCAGCCACAACCTCACCTTTCACCCCTCTCTGCATAAAAGTGAAACCCAAGCGGGTGGGTGTTTTTCTGGACTATGAGGCTGGCACATTGTCTTTCTACAATGTCACTGACCGCTCCCACATCTATACTTTTACTGATACCTTCACTGAAAAACTCTGGCCACTCTTCTACCCGGGTATCCGAGCGGGGCGAAAGAATGCAGCACCTCTTACCATCCGGCCTCCTACAGATTGGGAATGATGATGGGAAAGAACAGGGTGGGATGTTGAAGTAATGATGATGACAGGGGAGACAGGTATTTGGAACTGTGTCTCTTAATTTCCTGTGTCCTGCTGCTAGAGGTTTCCTTACTATCAGGCTCATGTCCTGTATTCTGGAGAAGGTATGGTAGTGGGAGGGAAGGTTATCCTAGGAAAGAGACTGGGCCTGGAAGAGAGTCTCCAAGATCACGCATCTGGAGACTGATCTTTTCCCATTATGTGAAGAGGAGGGGGGAGAGGTTTACTGAACGTGAGGCTGTCTTGGTTGCCTGCACTGTGCTCCACCAGTTTCCTCATTGCAAGAGGACTTTAGGGGATCTCCTTCCCTCCAAAACAGAAGTAGGTGTGGAGAACCCTGAAGCCTCTACTCACCCATTGGGTGATTCTATATGTCCAGGACAGTTTTGTTCCTTTGAGGGAAGCAGGATAATCTCTGTATCCCTAGAATGAAATAAAGGTGAATTGTCAGTCACATGGGAAGAAGAGTGTTAAAGTTGGTCTGGGGCAAAGTCTAAAAGAAAATGGGGAAAGAAAAGTTAGAAAAGGTGTTTGAAGAGGAGCCAGAGGTTCCAGCCACAGGAAAGAACAGAAAATGAGTCTCTTCTGGTTGCTACTTTACCCTAGCCAGATGAGGTAGAGAGGAAGAAAAGGAACAAAAATACCTCCTCCAGCTTTCATGGAGTCATCCTGTCTTAGGCATTCCACTGTCAAGGAGTAGAGACAGAGAAATGTTTGGAGCCCAGAAATGACTCAGGTGACTCAGGAATTGTAGGTGGAGAAAGGAATTATTTCTACTAGTTCTGGCCTTGAAGAGGTTTTGAATAGCTGGAACTAGGGCACAAAGGTAGTGGGGAAGTAGCATAATTGGGGGGGGGGGGCGGAGAGCACTGGATTTGGGCACAGGAGACAGGTTCACATTCTGGTTCTGTCATTTAGTAGCTGTGTGATCTTCGGCCAGTGCCTTGCTCTTTCTGAACTTGTCAGTTACCCCACCTGTGAAATGATGGGGTTGAACTAGATGGATAATCTCTGAGGGTCCTTCTATCTTACTTTAATACTGACTGTGCTATAAATGGAACTAGAAACATAATTCTCCTCACCCATCCACTCCCTACACTTGGGGCTGGCAAGATGAATGGGGTGGGGCCCAGCAGCAATTAGCAGGTCATAAACTGGGGTTTCCTACAACCTGTCTTTAAATCCTGAACCCAAGCTTCTACCTAAATCTATGTTCAAACTAAGGCTGGCCAAAGTAGAACAGAGGCAAATATGTTGTGAAAAATATCGCACAGTCCAAAACCAAGTCGTCGGTGGCTGTTGGTAACCAAGACTTCACAAAAACAGGCATGTCACCATCACAAGCTTATTGAGTGAATCAGATTTGTCCTGGGTCCTTGCCGCCTCACTCGCCCCCCCCCAAAAAAAAACTTTCCCTAGTATACTAACCCCTTTTAGTTCTTTGCCTAGGCCCTGTTTACACTGGCTATTACTGGGCTAGTAAAGTTATGGGGGAATGTATTAATATTAACCCTTAAATATGTTAATATTGAGCTAGTGAAAATAAGCTAATAGAATTTGTAGAGAAAGAAGCAGAATAATAATATATTTGCCTTCCATCTTTCTAATCCATCAGGGCTAGAGGTCAAGAATTAATACCTTTTCATTTCATTAAGTTATTCACACCTACAATAGCACTGATTCCTTGTTAGGCCACAAAAGTTTACAGTTTCTGGGGGCATCTAAGGTCATAATGGGTAATGGTTCTACGTTAGATTTGAATGCGTAACTTCCTGACTTGAAAGCTAGCCCTCTGTCATGTTCTAGAAGACCTCTCAAAGTGTAATGAGAGAAAATCTGGAATTTTTTTTTTTAATCTCTAGGCCTACTCATCCTCTTTGCTTTCTTGTGAGGGCATCTTGGGATATGTGTTTCCTTCCCACATGTCATCTACACTTATCTTTTTTGTTTGTGGTCCTGCCATTCTTTTAGGCCAGAAGGAAAGCCTATTATAGTAATAGCTCAGACCTAAGCTTTGCAAAGTGCTTTATGTTGTTTTATTCTCCCATAACCTAGATTAATATTTCATGATCTCTGAATATGGGGTAAGGTGTGCCCACTAACCTTGAAGAAATAGAGAAGGTGGTACTACTCCATGAGGCAGCCACTGTAGTGAAAAGCACTGGAGCTGGAGTCCAAGGACCAGAGTTTGAGATCTGACCCTATTAGCTGTGATTTTAGGCAACTGATTTTGGCCCAGTTTTGTGTTTTTTTTTGTTTTAGCTGTGGAAAGGTTCGATTGTGATCTTTTAAGTTCCAAATGTTTCCTTTCCATCACTAGTTACTCCCTTTCTGTATATCAAGATTTGACAGGAGTTGGTGGAGTTAGTGAATCACAGGAAGAAAGCAAAAAGGGATTCCTGACACCCGAATTCCTCATGACCATAGAAATGGGACGGGAGTAGAGAAGTTAGTTGAAAGAACTGAGGCAAAGAGGGTTTAAACAAGCAGCGCAAAAACCGGCACGGTATGGTTACATGCAGATTACATATATCCGTGAAGGAGGCCGGTACTGGGTTGAAGTGTCTGCCCTAGGGAGGCGGAATTTCGAGGGGGGAGGAAAGGGGAGGTTTCCTTTCTGAAAGCCTATGCTTATGTGAGTGATGGCCGGGGAGACTACAACTCCCAGCAGGCGCCGCGCGGGTAGTTCTGCGAAGGGGCGGGGCGACATTCGAGGAGGCCGGGTGTACAAGGGCTGCCGAGGTGATGGCGGGGCAGGTGAAGGACAAGGAGGCTTTTCAGAGACTCAGCTTCCTATACCAGGTGAAGGCGCGTCGGAGGGAGGGGAAAGGCGGGGCGGAAAGGTTCGCGTGGGCCCGGAGAACGAGCAGCGCCGCTTCCTCCCTCGCTAGGCTGCCCACTGCGTCTTAGCTCAGAATCCCGACAACCAGGCGCTGGCAAGGTTTTACTGCCACACGGAAAGAACCATCGGCAAGCGGCTCGTCCTGCGACAGTGAGGCTGCGCGGGGAGACGGGGCGGGGGGGGAGGAACGGGGGGAAGGGGGGCGGGGCTTGAGGGTGACCACGCTGTCGGTCCTCGCCCCCCAAGGGACCCCTCAGTGAAGAGGACCCTCTGTCGCAGCTGCTCCTCCCTCCTCATCCCCGGTCTGACCTGCACCCAGCGGCAGAGGCGTAAGTGTTATCTCCACCCGGGTGGGAGGAAGTGGAATCTCTAGCCTTTCTCTTCTTTGCTACTATTACTGTAGCTCCACCTAGGAAAACGGGGTTGGGGGCCCCGTCTGTAAGTAGACAACTTGGAAAGGTTTAGGGGGCAGTGGAAGTTTTAGGGCTGGAGACCAGAGGGAGGAGGGGAGGGCAGAAAGTCCCCCTCTACATCCTGTCCTCCCCGCCCCAACCCCTCCAAGGTCGCCTAGGCCAGCGCTGGACAGTACAGACCTGTCTAACATGCCGTCGAAGCCGCAGATTTCTCAATGACCCCAGACACCAGCTCTGGGGTGACCGGCCTGAGGCCCAGCTGGGAAACCAGGCGGGTAAGGAGAAGAAGAATGTTCCTAATCGCAAGGTGGAATAAATAATAGGGTGAATTAATAAGGGAGAGATCTCGTATAAAAAGGATTGGAGGATGGAGGTAGTTGGGGTTGATGGGAAGAGACACGGTTGGGGATCAATCATTTTTGCTTCTGTCTCCAGACCCCAGATTGATTAGATCTGTAGCACACACAAGCCATCCAGTCTCAGTCCAGCCTTCTGGGGAAAAATTGCACCATCAGAACCTCAAAGTACAGTGACTGAGAGGGTATCTTCTGCAAAGGCCTAGGAAACATGAGCTGTCATTCAGATAAAATATTCAGTAAAGTATTCAAATAAAGTTTTGTCCTGCCTCTTTTTACTTGTGTCTCCAATGTATAGACAGTTTTTTTTCAAGTGGTGAGAATTGTATCTAACCTCTTTTCTCTGACACAACCTGTAATGTAGTGGAAAGAACAATGGAACTAGAGTGTTGGAATCAGTGAAACCAGTTTCAGATACCATCCACAAGCTGTGGTGTGCAGACATACATGAAATAAGAGTAGCTGTAAAGCACATCAAATGAAGAATCATATTCCACAAACCACACAAAACAAAGTTTTGAAAGTTGGAAACCAGGACATGAGTTAAAGTGCCATTAAATAGGGTATTCATCCTGAAAGTCAGCTTGGTAAAAGAACAATTTGAGCCAGGTTGGAATGGAGGGAAGAAACTTGAATGGTTGGAAAGACATTTTGCCAGGGAAACAACCTGGATAAAAACTGTGATGTGTTAAGTTATCTAGTAATTTAGTATCTAATAATGACAGATGAATTCACAGTTCCTGGCACATGATAGAGGTTTTTTATAAAAGCTAATAGAAATTGAATATGGAATGTAGAGATCTTAGAAATCCTTTCATCTAAACCCCACATTTTGCAGAGATGAAATTCATGAGGTTCAGGTGTACCCTAAAATGTTGGGTTGCAAGGTTGTCTGGAAAGAATTCAGGCTGTCTCCAAATCGAGTAAAGGCATTTATTGCAGGTAACACAACACACCAAGCAGGCTCTTCTGACACTTAAGGGAGAACCCAGCTTAACTGGGATGGGGATGGGGGGGTGGCAGTGTCCCCTGCCAGGAAGACTCCTATTTAAAGGTGTCTCAGAAGAGAAGACGCCCAATTAAGGGAGATGCCCTACACTTAAGGAGAGGCTAGGAATTTTTACAGAGTGAAACCTACCAGGGGTGGGAATGTGAGGTAGTCGGGGACAGCAGTTCAGAGTTTTCAGCATTATTATGTAGGCCAGGAGGAAAGGGTGGAGAGGCCCCTGTTAGTTTGGTATTCCATTGACCAACCTACTTGAATGTCTTTGTCTCCTAAAGTGGCTTTAAGTTGAGGTTATGGGCTTCTCTTGGACCACTGTATTTGAATCTTATCAAAATGACTTGCTTAAAAGGTTAGTTTCACAAGTTGGTGTTCCCTACTTCCACCTTCATAAACTTCTTCCCCTTTGTTCTTGCCATCTGGTCTGAGCCATTTCCAGTTGTCTTGGTGATCTATATATCTGGCCACTGGAACCAGATGGCTCTGGAGGAGAAAGTGAGGCTAGTGGCTTTGCATAGCCCTCCCTCAATGTGATCCAATTCACTTGCAAGTCTTGGCATCATCTTCCTGATGTCATGGTCCTCTTTGAGAATGAAGGACAAGCCACACATATATGGGAATGTAATGAAATACTATTGTGATGTAAGAAATGACAAAAAGAATGGTTATAGAGAAACCTGGAAATACTTGTATCAATTGAAGCAGAGTGAAGTAAGCAGAACCAAGAAAACAAGTAATACAACTAACAACATCATGAAGAAAAACAACTTCAAAAGACTTAAGAAATCTGATCAAAGCAATGACCAATCACGATTCCAGAGGACTGATGATGAAAGTATT